TCCAGTGGTCCCTGTGTCACTGAAATCTGGGAATAAACCTCGTAACACCAATGTAGTGTTAAAAGGCAGGCATTCTTTATTGCAGCGCTGGATGCACGGGGGATAGCTCCACCCAACGTGCATGCCAGGTGATCACCAACATACAGGTTATATAGAATCAAAATACACATATTCATTATTTTCCCGAGAAAAGGCAGTCCTATGATAATCATTTCTAGGATTCATTTCCATATTCTCCTCCCCGTCACGCATGCTCAGTGATTTGAGTCGGTGGCCCTCAGGGGTCTCTGGTGCTCGTCAGTAGTCTTGCACCCATGTCCGCTGGATGACCCCCTTCATGCAGGCATGCGCAGTATCCTTGTTGTAGGTGCACCTGTCCATAGCAACTTACTTCATAAGATTAATATCTCCAACCCTATTGTTCAGTTTGGTAGGGACTCTACGTGGGACATAGCAGCATTGTATCTTGCCACGGTCACCTTGCCACTTGCCACGGTTAGTTAGCTTCATTACCTATTACCTTGGTTATAAACTAATTACCTCAACCTGATTCTATAGTTTCTATTTCATGGCCTCTATCCTACGGTTACACCTGTGTTCCTAGCAAACACTTCAAAGGGGACTGGAATGCAAGGAGGGCTTCAGAAATGTCCACAGAAATGTTGGAAGTCATGAGACTTATCTACTAGACTGAAACCCTAGCTTTAGAGTCTTTCCTTGTCCCTCAACACAAAATTGGTGTTCTGTCAAAACCAGGGATTTCTTTGTGATCCCCTTGCTAATTTATATGCATCTTCAACCATTTGATGCTTCCACACATTGGCTGTGTATCCATGTCAAAAGTTTCTGGTTAACTGCAGAGATTGTGCTGCAGTGCTTACACTTTCACTGGTTGGCAGCACTGCCCTGGAACCCAGAAGTGGAGGGTCAGCTCTAGAAGTGCGGGAAACTAAGATGACGTTGAGCATTCCCATATCACCCGGCCCAGCCTCAGTGGGTAGAATCGAAACTCTTGCAAAGAAAATACTATGCTAGTGACAGGTTTGGGGTAGGTGATAAAGACAGTGCTCCCTTGTCAGAGATCCCAGAATAAGATTAGGAAGACACACTATTACAGGAGAAGAGCCAGAGATCACTCAGACAGATCTGACCTAATAGTTTGAGTTCTAATCAGTAAATTTAGGTATGTAAAATATTTAATAAGCACAGATGGATTAACAGTCAATACTTTACTATTTACTACATGTAAAGTTAATATGGGATACAAAGATTATTGTGTAAGCTTACTAGACATATCTTAAATGTTACATGAATGCAAAAACTGTCACTTACCTACCCATCAATGTCTTGTCAAGTAAGGGGTCTCTCTGCATCAAGGGGAAACCTCGAAAGGCATCCCTACTCAGGGGGAGATAGCTACTGTGCAGCCAGCTGCTATGGAGGGAGAGCTCCACGGGCCCTGAGGGCTGCAGATATTTATAGCATAAAGTGGCTGATTTGTAGTCAGATTTTCTGCTGTTAATACAATTTTGGCTGCTTACCAGCCCAGTCTCCAGCCAAACCAGGTTTTTTTGGGTTTGGTGCCGAGTTCTCACAGATAGGATAGCCTCATACAATAGGATTAACTTCAGTTAGGTCTACTTGCTGAGCATCTGCCTGGACCAAAGTTCATTTGGTTCAGACAGGAAGAGCGAGTCTGTCACACAGACCAAACATGAATCAAAATAGGAAGCACCATCTCTGGGCACTTCTCAAAGCTTTGTGGAAGGATAACTTCCATTTCCACTGAACACTGGCCATATCCAGGGAGAAGGAAAGGGTCTAATGGAAAAAATAACAGCAAAAGCGTCAAAAGACATAGGACACTTTACCACTTACCACACAGATCATGCATACTCACTCCAGGAGGGGTGGGTTCTTGCTGCCTACAAATCTGTGCATTGCTGCTTGTACTTGTATGAGTGCCAAAATATAGATAGATACCCATGCAGGTGCATCCCTAGATGGAGAGACCAACAGACACAGAGAGGGGGGGAGGCCTCCTTTTTTCCATTCTGCCTTCTGGACATCTTGGCATACTTCCTGCTTCATTTATTCACTACTTTATTGACTATGCAACTGAACAAATGGAAGAAAAAAATAAAAAAACCCCACTGACAGCACAGGAGAGCAGAGGAGAATCAATGAGATCAGACAGGAGAAACAAAATGAATGGGTGTTTTTGCCCCTTCAGCAAGTAATTCCCATTGCTTCTGATCAAAGTGCTGAGGAAACTATAGTTCTACTTCTAACTCCTCACAGAACTGACTATCTCAAATTCACTTTTCAAAGCAACTGTTTTGAACTTAAAAGTGATAAGTACTACAGAAAACATGAGGGGAAACATTGCAAAGTTATTTTGCTCAGCTTCCTCCATGTTTTTCATCCAGTGATAAAACTGAGGCATGGGACAGTTGTGTGTTCTAGTCTCTATGGAGCTGAGATCCAAACGTGGAAGTCTGTCTTAAAAGATGTGAGGAAAACATTGCAAACAAATTTTATGAGAATTTTTTTCTTTTTTTTTTTTTTTAATAAAGTCCCCAAGAAGCTCTACCCACAGTTCTTTCCAATATTTCCCTTGTCCTATCGACATTGATGCAGGAAAGCTTAGACTTCAAGCACTGAATGCTAGCGGCTATAAATCCCTAGATCTAGTCTGATTTCATCTGCCTCTGAACAGTTCAGGGAAGCTCTGAGTCTGATCCAAATTGTCCTTACCTTACACTCCCTGACTCTCCTTGTCATGTTTTATATACTTATTGACTTTTACAGAGCTTCCTGAGTAATTCTTCAAGGAAGATTGACTGATCTAAGGGGTTAGTCATCCTGCAGGTTAGTAAACATGACAGCTGGTTGAGGATTAACAGGAAATCATGAATAAAAACTATTGGGATTGATAAAGGATTCTCAAGCAATTAAAGTTTGCTTGCAGAAAGTCAAATAGAAAAAAGAAACGTAGAGTGAAGGTTAAAGGAGAAGAATGACCTTCAACATGCTGACAACCACTGAGCCCCGAAATACAAGATGTACTGGCAGAGTTTTTGTGAGATTATCACACAAGGGGATAAAGTGCTAGAAAGAACTGCAGGCTAAGGTGTAGGAGACTGGGCAGAGCTATGCAGGACCAGAATAGCTGTGGAACCAGCAGGTCAGTGCAGAGGCATGTCAACAGGGTGGTGTGAACATTCAGAGCAGGATTAAAATGAATTGTCAAGTAACAATAGGACAAGGGGTAATGGTTTTAAACTAAAAGAAGGTAGATTTAGATTAGATATAAGAAAAAAAAAAAATCTTTACTATGAGGGTGGTGAGACACCGGAACAGGTTGCCTGGAGAAGTTGTGGATGCCCTGTCCCTGGAAGTGTTCAAGGTCAGGTTGGATGAGGCTTTGGGCAACCTGGTCTAGTGGAGGGTGTCCCTGCCCATGGCAGGGGGGGTTGGAACTAGATGGTCTTTAAGGTCCCTTCCAACCCAAACCATTCTATGATTGGCAAACTGGTCTGGGGGTGCTGTTTGCCTGCTCTGTGGTCCCAATGGTAGAGAACACTGCAGGACAAGACCAGCAGCAGAACTACCTTCCAATCCCCTCTCCAGGTAAGAGTTGGCTAATGTACTGCAGAGAGCAGACTAAGGTAACTTCAGGTAACTTCCTTCCCCTTTCCAAGATCTCCATCTACTTCATCACTGGGGCTGAGGCTTGCTGCCTGCTAGCTGCTTACTCTCTCCATGTCTTCCCTTGTTAGTGATTTTCTTCATGCAGCATCTTTCTGTTCTCTCTCTTAACCTCTAGCTTCTTTTCCTGTCCTGTAAATACCCACTGATAACTTTAATGTTCCAGGTGTGAGAGGCTCTGGTACTTTGTTTAATGAACTGGAAATGAATTGGAGCCTATTGGCTCTGGAGAACCCATACCAAGAGCCATCTGTTGTGAGCTGCAAATGCTGCTTGTCATTCAGGGAGCTGAGCTTCAGTCTTACGCATGCTACCCGGCCCCTCGGATGATTACTGAGTTCCTGACAGCTTCTAATGTGTGTCACAGCGAGGAACGTCAGGACCCGTCAGGAAAATATGTTTAGGCAGAGTTGGTTTGAAGGGGGGGAGCCTAGAGTCAGGTATGGCTTCATGTTTGTCCTGTGGGGCAAGGCAAAGAACGCCGTGGTTGAAGGGATGCGTTTTAGAATACTCAGCAGAATTTGTATTTTACGTTCTTAAAATCTTCTCCTTTTAGTCTGATATCCCAGAGCTCCATGATTAAGGGAACACTACAGCTTTGCCTTTTTACATATTGTTATAAAGCTTATTTTAGAAAATATATTTTTTATTTCATTGTCTGTGCAGTAAAGCCTTTAAATATTACCTGAATGTGACCTTTAAAATGTGAGTCAGAAAGCAACAGAAAAGAAGCCCAAACTGCTGTTGCTTATGTTGGTGTTTTGTTAATTTTTAAATACTGTGGGTTTCCAGAATCATTTGATTCATGGCTTTTGTTATATAGGTATGTGGGGGGATACATTTAGAAGTTAAACATAACTTCACTGGCTGTGACAGGATTGTACAGCTACAAGGTTTCTAGATTTGTTGATCTTGGTAAGGTGTTCTCTCAGGACTGAAGTACAGCACTATGTGCAGATTATATGACATGCTCTTGACTAATCTTATTGTTCTTTAGCTTTTCTCACTCCTCAGGAGGCTCTCTGGTTTCAGGAACTGTTATGGTGCTGCAATTGGAATTAAGTTTGTTAGTACTTGGAAGGAGATGTGGGTTCTGCCCTTTCCCCAAACCAAACCACAAAAAAACCCCAAACAAAAACCTTTTTTTTTTTTTTTTTTTTTAAACTTAGACCATTAAGCAAGAATGAGCGGATGATAAAGTCTGAGTTTAAGCACTGAGTGGCCACATGGTTATCAAACAGCATGACTAGTGGAAAGAGTTTAATTCAGCCTTTTCTCTTCATTTTCAGAGTCTAACAGCCGACGGGCAGTGAACAGAGGCTACCTGGGTGGATTGCTGAGGCTCTATCAAGACTGGCATCACAACGATGTCTCCAACAACTACATTTATATTCGTAGGGGTCTCCTGCTCTGCCTAAAGCACATCACCAACATCCAGCTGGGCAGGGAGACTTTCCTTGGTTCCCGGGGTATGGAGATTCTCTTCACAAGTGTAGAGGTAAATGGTGCTTTTGTGCGTAAGTGAGATGGATTGGTAGTTAGTGCTGGGTTCTACCTCACAGTGCAGGAAATTCCATAGTTTTATCCTGAGTTTATATAACATATAAATGAAAAAATGATAATGTTAAAATAAAAAGCATTGACTTTTTCATAGTTAGTATTTCAGAAAAGCTAAGATGTTTCAATTTAAAACTAATTTTAATTCCTACTGAACCTTATAGAAATTCTAATTCAGGCTTTTTAATACTTTTTTCTCCTCCCCTGTGGATCCTACTGTCTGCTTGGACTTTCTTTCCCAAAGAACAGTGCAACGTCTCCACAGAAGCATTGCTTAGGTGTTTCATGAGATGTTTCCTTTCATGTATCCAGATGGATAATTCCACAGAGTCTTTTCCACAAAAAAGTGTTGATTTAGCCAGGCCTCTGCTAATGAGAAACATCCATCAACTGTTTTCAGGAAGCCCAACTTTAATCTTCTGAAACATTAATGTGAGTCCATCAAGAAAAAGATGACATGGTCCTGAGGATGGGATCCCTGTGAGGTATAGAAAGGGCAGGTACCGAACAGTAACGGTTTCCTCTGAGTCTCACCACCGTGCTTCCTTAGTCGTCTTTAAAGAAGTCACTTATGGAGAAACCTTCAGTTCTTGACCCATGTGATTCTGCAAGGAGTGTTTCCATTGTCATTTTCACTGGCCAGTGCTTTATCTCATTCTTCCACCATCACAGACAGAATGAAAAACCTGTCCCCTTCTCCTCCAGAAAATCCTTTTGATCCAGTGTATTTGCTTCTTCACCTTCCCATTGCTGTAATGAATGATTCTCCTGTGACTGAAAGATATTCTTGCTAACAGTAGATGGTAGATTGGTAGAGCTTTTTCACTTCATTTTCCTCATGAGGAATTGACCACTTTTGCTCGTCCTGGCCACCTCATACCATCTAAAAATCTTTCAAGGGAGTATGACCTCTGTTAATGAGAAGTCCCTGGTCTGCAGAAACTTGAATAGGGGGGATGGGAACAGCTGCTTGAGGGTAGCTGTCAGCTTGTTCCCTCTCAAGAGCCATCTACAGCCTATGTAGCTCTCTGAGCTAACATCTCCTGATAGCTCAGCCTGGGAGCAACCCCATGGAAAATACAAATGTGGGGTCACCTTGGGTGAACAAACAGGAAATGACACACTAGGACTCCAGTGAACACTGATAACTCTAATCCTTCCAAAGGTTAGAAGTGGAGCGGAAATGACAGCTTCGGGGGCCTCCAGTTTGTTTTTTTTTCTACTGTGTGCTAGTAGGGAGATGTTGGAAGGGAAATTACCAAGGTTAGTAGATTCAAAGCTCAATGTTCCTTCTCTTCTTCTTTGGCATATTGTCAGTCTTACAGTATCTCTCCAAGACATGAGGTGTCAGGAGGAGTCTGGCAGCCCTAGAAGGTCTCACTCATATTCTTCCCTACTCTGACCTGAGGTAGACGCTGCTGCTGCTACTAAAATATCCATAATCTTTGTGGTAGACAGAAAATGGGAAATCTATTCTGCCAAGATGAACTGCAGGCTTTAGTAAGAGAGAAAGAGACAGGGCAAGACTAACAACCCCTGCTTGGGAAAGCAATGGTTCTTTGTATGTGTAGACAATATATTAGTGTCTTTAGGAATTTGCTGTCTGTGGTGACTAGCTTTGACCAAACTCTGAGCAGCTAATAAGATTTTAAAGATGTTAAAAGCTGTCCAGAAAAGTTCTACTGAAACTCTTTTAAAAAATTTTAATCTATTGAAATAGTTTTGCCAAGATGGGTTTGTTTTAACAACCTCCAGTGGAACTCATATTTACAAGGCTGGTTTTCAATTGAAACCTCTCCAGCTGCTTATTGTATGGGCTGATGGACAGCTGAAATACCTGAGCTTTTAATAGCCCTTAAGCCTATGTCTTTACAGGAAGAGCCAATAGTTCAAAGACTGTCTCCTTACGTAGTTTAGAAGTGACTGCTACTTTGTGAGGAGAATTTAGAGATATTTTGAGTTCTGCTCCTACCTGGAATGAAAAATAATTTTAGATAATGGAATCATTCGTGAAAAGGAAGCACTTTCTGCTCCCATTTCTTTTTCCAAGCTCTGCTTAGGCTTTCACGGCAGTTAAATGGTATATTCACATTAGCAACTGGCTGGCTTTGTGTGTAGTGACAGAGCTGCCTGCTCTGAGACAAGAAAACAGGTTTGTATCTGCTTTAGGAGAGACTGGTGCATGGAATATTATTTTGCTATTTTATCATTTATCCATCTGACTTCTTAAGCCTACCTGGTCTCTCTTCAGCCTTCCTGTACTAGGATCTACTCTAGGATAATATTATCCTATACTCCACTCTCTGTTTCCCAGTAGTAGCATCCATTAGCATCGTTACCTTTTGCCTTACTATCATATTGAAACCTTTTTTGTATACATCACTTATGTATCATAATATCTGGACTATTCCAGATTCAGTAGAGAAAAGATTGAGTGTGGAAGCTAAAAAGCAGATCCCTTGAATTCAGGTTAGATTTACATGGGTTTTCTGAGCTAAGGATTCACTCTCTTCCCTCATTCACAATATCCCACTGCAAAATAAATGGGCTAGTTTACACACCTACAGAGCAGTCTCCTGTCTATTTTTCAGGTGTCAGTAAAAAAAGCTTTTCCAATACAGTGATGGAACATTTTTCAGTCATCTGTAAACTGTGTTATCTTGGAATCTGTGACCACTTTATGAACAGTAATGAAAATAGTCCCAAAAATTCCATGTAAGTTATCTGCAGGCTTCTTTGCACTTGTAAGCTAATTTGCTGTAATGAAAAAAAAAAATTACTTTGAACAGCATCACTGAATAACCCCATGTGTAGAAGTTCATTGTCTGGATGATCATACCTTGCTCTTGACTATCTCAATTCACTTGGCAATGAATTAAGATGGCTGGCCCAAGGCAGGCATTTATACAGTCCTGTGTTCACTGTTCTAGTAAAAACAGAACAGTTTTAGTAAACTATAGTAAGACTGTTCAAGAAAGTTATTCCATTCTCACACGTAGACAAAGTTTCCTTATATTCCCTTTAATAACAAGCAAAGGCAACCAAATACAATGTGAAAGAGTGAATAAATTGAAAAACTGGAAATAGAAACCAGTTCTCCTTGGTGTTTGCTCTAACCACAATAAAACTTTCCTTGGAGATGCTTTCAAAATTGTCTTTTCTCTCTCCCTTGTTCCTAACAGCCAGAGATCTAGAAATACATATTACAATTCTTGTAGTGAGTCTTGTAAGCATGTCAGCTTTAGATGATTTTTCTAGTCTCCCTACAGGAATCCTGGTTAATCCCACTGAATCTCATAATGCTGTTCAATCATACATAAGAAAACGGAATAAAATCCTGTACAACCAAAAAAACCCAACAAACAAACAAAAAAACCCCCACAAAAAACCCCAAAAAAACCAACACAAAAAAACCCACCAAAAAACCCCAAACCCCAATACAGCCATTTACCTGTTCCTGGATCTAGTGAAGTACTTTATGTTCTTTCGTCATCTTCCTGGTTCTGCTGAATATTTTTTTGTCCAGCCTAAATCCTAACTGTGGACTGTCAGACAACAGCACAAAGTATCTGTTCTGCCCATGGGCCTGTTCCATTTTATCTGTGCTGAAGGGATGCAAAAATATTAAATGGTATTAGAATGTATTGTAATATTCCTCTTTTGCCTTATAGAATATTCATGCTGCTTATTTGACTTGCATTTGTGTTCTGATGAGCTAAATCTTAGTCCCAAGCCACTAAAGATAACATGCTGATAGACATGGTGCAGCTTATGAACTTAGGTAGGATGCAACATTGATTAGTCAGCCTCCCTGATGGAGGCTGTGGTATAGATGCACTGTGCTTGGGGAAATCTGAAGGCTTGGTTTTGTGAGCATCACATCTATCAGTTTTAAACAACTTCACCTTTGTGCAGCAGCTGTAATTTGCTTATCCAAACTCTCTGACTCTGTTAAATTGAAGATATACACCTACTATGGTCTCCTGGGGTTCTTTGCTTTTCGTTCTGGGGGGTGTGTGTGTGGTGTTCTCTTTGCAACAAAAGACCAAGGAGTTCACTTGCATAGCATGGTAATAAAAATACAAAAATATTCTATGTCTTCAAAGTACATCTGGGCGCTCATAGCTCCTTACACTTCTAATTCGTACTCTAGGTTATAGGAGTAGACAGTGTGGGATACTGCAGGAATTCAATATTTTATGACTAGGTAATATATAGTGATCTTTCAGACTAACTATTGGGCCTAAGGCATAACTATATAGAATACACTGGGAATGCTCTCTTTGAGCACTGTGTATAGTGAAATAATGGTGCAACTGTGCTAGCTTACCTGTGTTAGTTTTGACATGATAGCTCTGGCTGTAGTTGTGGTGGAGAAGCAGAAGCACAGATTTTAGCATGTGTTAGCAGCCAAAATATATACATGGGCTCCCTGCAGGATTTTTTAAATTCTGTATTAAAGAATATATCTCTTCGGTGCTGCTGCTAACCTGTGTTAGCTAGTATATTTTAGCTATCATACATTCCTTTAATATACCCTGATTATAATGTCTTAGAGCATGTCCCGAAGCACCACATCTACACAACTTTTAAATACCTCCAGGGGTGGTGACTCAACCACTTCCCTGGGCAGCCTGTTCCAATGATTGACAACCCTTTTGGTGAAGAATTTTTTCCTAATATCCAACCTAAATCTCCCCTGGTGCAACCTGAGGCTGTTTTCTCTTGTCCTATTACTTGTTACTTGGGAGAAGAGACAGACATGCATCAATGGAAGTCCCCTGAGGTCCATGTTAGACTGTATTTCTGTAAGAAATTGACTGCAAGAATTTGAGGTCTTACTATTCCAGGTAGATTTCTTTAATGGTAAAAAGGAGGAAAAAAAAACCACACCCCAAAAAGCAAGGAGGGAGCAGGAAAAAAAAGCCATAAATATAAAGATTTCGTATACCAATCAGAAGAATGCCTCCGCTCTGGTTTATTGTATAGGCAGGTCAATTGTAAGAAACAATTCTTAACATTGTTCTCCTTTGGTTCCTAGGACTGTTTATCTTGCAGAAATCTGGATCCTATCATAACCACTGTGACTCAGATTCTGAGGAAGTGTCACCCGAAGGAGCCTCTACCTGTTGCGACAGTAAGAAGTTCCTATTCCTTCCCTCTTCCTGGGAACGCCAAGGTTGAACGTCCATGTGAGGGATCTGAAGGTAAGTGCCTGAAGGGTGAGTTCAATAGGAGGAAAAGGAGCATGACAAGAGAATTAAATGTGGGATCTGGGGAAGGGAGTCTCAGTACCCTAGTCCTGAGGTTTAGAGTTAAAATTAATCTGATGGCCTACAGTGTCACTCAGTAGAAACGAAACTACTCGCAGGTCTTCTCAAAACATGGAGACTCTGTTTGAAGAATAAATGAGAAAACTAAAAGGAGCAAGGAAAAAAAAAATAGTCCTCTATTATGCAAAAAACAATGGAACAGAATGGGCATAGCAGAGGCTGGAGATGCCATTGCTCCACAATAACAACAGAGGAAGAGATAGTTGTACTTGTGCATGACTATTTGAGGTGGGAACACTGCTCTGCAGCTTTTTCAGTAAAAAATGGCAGGAAGTATTATCCTTTTTCCTTTCTAAAATAAAAACAGATAACAGTCACGCTGTATAAGTAAAAGATGCGAGCACTTACTGAAAAGCAGAACTTAAGCACGGGCAGGACAGCCACTCCACAGAAAAAGAGAAACGGTAGGCTCCGTAATACACACAAGCAATTTCTCTGTTGCTTTCAGCTTCATATAGAAGATGCTCAAATACTGTAATAATGATAGCAGTAAACCATCCTAATCTAGATAATACAGATTAAGAGCATCCTGTAATATAATTGCAGCCAAGCAGAAAATCTCTGTATTGCTTTGTAATATGAGTTGGATCCATATCATGGTGACATTTGTCATGGTTTTGAAAGGCAGTGCTTGAGTCCCAGAGAACAGAGCTTTAAAAAGTGGGAGATTTAGTGCCAAATTCATTTATACTAGATTAAAAAATGGGATCTGCTTTAATCAGGGTTATGGTGGGTTGTAGTTTGAAGGCGTGTGGCACACGCAGGAGATAGCGCTTATTTCTTTGGAGGCCTGAGAGGGATAATAGGTTGAACGCCTCTGCCTCTACCTCTTTTCTACTTCTGCAGGTGACTATGAAAGTGATGGAGAGGAAGAGCCTGAAAAAGACCTAGATAATGAGGAGAGTAAGGAGGAAGTACGTATATGAGCCATAGTTTCCTTAATCATCCACACACTGGAAAGTAAAACTTTTCATTGTCTGTTTTGACATCCTGATAACCTAAGTAGAGAATGTAGATATGCATGTGGTCCTACATACACTACACAAATAATAGGATAATGGAAGGGTACTTGAAAGAAAAAAAGAGAAAGCACTGACTTTCATTGAAGAGAGTCCCCTGCATTTATCTTATTAATTGCTGTGCTTGTCACCCAGGATGGCACGGGTTTGGTGACTTCTCTGTTCATGCAGAGAGACTGAGCAGCGACTGTTAGAATCACATGCAGAGTCAGGGATAAATGATGAATCTTTGATGCCAGAAATGGCACTTTGTAGGGGACAACTAAATTGTAACCTAGGAAAGACTAACCCTCTTTGTCTTCCCATATCAGAGCATATTTGGGCTGTGCGTCTACCCTAAGGAAAAGGTTAGTTCTTTTAAGCCACAGCTGGGCCATTTGAACCTAGATTCCTTCTTTATTTGCTGCTGCACACAGACAAACAATATAATGAATTATTCAAGACTTTTCTGACTTCTCCTTTTGCACTCTCCATCATGACCTAACTGGGGAGAAAAAAAACCCAACCAAACAACAGAAAACCCCCAAAACAAAAACCCTCCTCCAAAAACTCTAACAGCTGAGGATGACAGTGCAAACTTTCTTGTTGTGACAATACATACAAGCACATACGCTAATGTGAAGGAGTGAATGCTGCTAATAAGTCTTGTCCACATAAAGTGGTTTGGGAAGGCAAATTAAAGACGTGAAGTTGCGAATACAGTCTAATTAGATATGATCGAGACTTTTGTGGAAGGGCATTTTCATTACTTGCCCTGTCTTTTTCTCCTCAACTATTAAACTGCTGTCACACAACAAAAAAAGGAAGTTAAAAACCAAAACAAAACATATTAGCTCAGTGTCCTAACTTGCCCCTGTCTGACTGTTTTTATCTGAATATTAGAGCTTGTCAAGATGCTCATTAGGAATAAGGTTCATAGTGAATTTATCTCCCTCTTTAATTAGTTATTTATTCAGATACAGGTCCTATATGCCTCTGAACTATTTCATTATTCATAAGGATTTACCAAGTAGATGTGAGCAGGATTTTTTTTGCCTAAGAACTTGCTCTTAATGAGTTTTAAGTACTGTTTGTCTGGTGTGCTGGTCATATATATCCCAAGACAAATCTTTCTAAAGGGAAAGCAAGCAGGGAATGGATAATGAACTTTCAGTTTACCTTTATCACTTGCACAATGTTTCCTGGTATTGATGTGATTTACAAACATTTTCAGATACATGACACATATCCATGCCTACTAGTAATACCAACCAAACTGAAACTTGGCTCTACACTTCCATCGGTAACTGTTCAAACAGTTCTATGAAAATCAAAATCAGCACATCAACCAGCTATCCTTCTCAACTCAAATCTTCAGCAAGTTTGAAGCTGCTTATGCATCATGATGCTGTTATTGGCAAATCCTTTTAAAATGACCTCAAATACTCTGTGGAGCTCTTCATTCATTGCCTTTTTAACTAGGCCCAAACAGCAGTTTAAACTCTGCTTTGCAATACAAGTGTGGCTCAGGGTTTGAAATGCCATGGACGCTTTGCATTCTGGCAATTTTTTTTTTTCTTTTGATAACGGCTTCAGAAATTAGTCTATCAGGAGCAAATAACTTTTCTGGCATTTGCTGGGGCATACTTACTGATGATTTGTTAAATTATCTGAATAATGCTGTAGTGTAATGGTCAGTCATCTTTGCCAGGTCTCCATCTTTCCCTCTTGCCCCATCTTTTCCTGGTTTCTTATGCAATGACTGAATGCTTGACACAGTTCAGGTTTGGTTCTTGTATCTGATATGGAGGAGGTTGCACATCAATGCACAGTTGCCTTTGTGAAAGTTTCAGATATGGATCTTGTCCTTGATTTGTTGATAGTGGATATCTAAAAAACTTTTTTCATATAAAAATATCAAGAAAGTTGGAAAGTATAGAAGATAGATTGAACAAGTGTTTCACAGATATTTTTTTTTTTATAAACAGCATTGAGAGATAAAAATAAAATAAAAGCCTGCAAATAAAATTGGTGCCTGCAAGTTCAATGATATAGATGTGGGCCCTTCTGTTTGATTGGTAGGCACTCAGAGAAACCATGTGGTTTTCTATATCAAAGGTAGAAGTGTCAAGCTTTCTAATTTCGCTGATAGCCTGGGAGGAGAATTTTGCCTTCTATATACTTTGAGAATTTTCTTGCTAAATATGCATTTATTTGATTATTGTTTCTTTGAATCAGAATATTACCAATTATATCTTGAGGATCTGTGCCTACTTGTTTACACCACATAAGCAAGGGAATGGTTGACATGCTCAGAAATAACTAGTAGTTGTTGGTGTCTCTTATTTTGAAACCTTCCAAGCTGAGGTGCTTTTAAAAAGGTTCAAGTTTCAGTCTTGATGTTTTGGGGGGTTTTTTTGAAACCGTCTTTTCATGGTATCTCTGCTTAGATACGCAAATTCCAATAGATCAAATTCCACTTTTTCATGATGTAGTCTTTCCTCTTGTGCTTCTGTTTTCTATTCCATAAAATTACTTTAACAGTCTCCGTGAGTATGGGAAGAAGAGTTATAGGACTCATTAAATGAGTCTATCATTAGAAATCAAGGGTATTATGCAGAATATTACTTTAACAGTCATCTTGTGGAGCACGTTTAATATATGTGCTTTTCTAATTCTGCTTTTGTAGGATTATGATTTGGAGACAGATGTGAACAAATTAAGGTCAAGGCCAGTGCTTGACTGGCCAGAGGAAGAGCTTGGACAATATGAAGCAATGTGTCCGGAACTTTCCCATAATTTTCAGGTACTGTCATAGTGCGGCTTCCTTCATTTGTGCATGTTCAAGAGTTTAAGAAATATTTGAAAGGGAGCACTGACAAGAGATAACTAGACAAGGCTATTGCAAAAAGAAACCTAGATGTCTTATAGGACTGGATAAACAAAGATTAAGAATTTTTGCTATAGTTGATTGGTGTGAATCAAGAATGATAGAAAGGGACTGATGTTGTTTGGTGTACATTTAGCTGGGTATGGATTAAATAAGCACTATTGAATCAGTTGCCACATGAGAAATCTGTCAGATAATAATTTGCTGGCAATTTCAATGGCAATATCAAGATCAGAATGAGATGTGGAAACTAAATACTGTCAACTAGTTTTTTGAAGGAAGTGATGGAGAAGATTGCACCACTGCTGAGTGAAATGCACAGTTCCAATCATTGTTCTGTTGCAGTCTGGGAAAAGAGATGGAGTATTGCACTCATTAGAAGTCTTGGAATTTGGGAGAGCTGAAAGCCGTGATTCAAATATGAATCTAGAAAGAACCACTGGCTTAATGTATCTTGTGTAGACACAATGTTGTGACACTTACTATGACCATAAGTAGCCAAACGGGATTAGTTTATATGCTTGCATGAAGACAGGGGTGGAGTTTTGCATGACAGATTGGCCTCCTTTAGCCTGCTGTAACATTTACAGTCTAAAAACATGTCTTGCAAATTATCTTCCCTAATTTGTTAGAACAATCGGCTTTGGTTGGAGATGACTCACCCAGATGACTCAGTCTGATCCTTTTAGTTTTTGAGGACTACTGTTGAAACAGCTTTATGGATAAAGAAATTCTGGCAGGTGGTCCATGGACTGATTTTACTGTGGTTGTTTTATTGGACGAGTACAGTTTTGAGAGATTTGTAAATATTTTTTCTTTTTTCCTTGAAAGGTTTCTTCTGGAAGGAGGCACAATCTGTCTTTAGTGTTTTTTAATTTCTTCTGCTTTTTAAATTTAAAGGAGCTTGAATCAGAATCTGAGGAAGAGAAGAGCTTGGAGGACAGGACTGAGAGTTTTCCCTCTACTCCCTCTCATTTCATTCCAAGTGCTACTTCTGTGAAACATCCAAACTACAGATGGAGAAACCAAAGTGTCACAGAGATGGGACCAGAGCCAGGGGAAAAGGATTTCAAAGTGCCACTGCAGAGCTGGACAAAGAAGGAGAAAAGCAGATGGGATCCAACTGATGAAAAGAGAGACATTGCAGAAACATCCCAAGATGCAGACTCCTGTGAAGAGGAAGATCCAGCCAGGAGTCACGCGCTTACTTTGCATCCTCTCCCAATAGAGGCTGCTTGGTACAAAAAAATATTTTACCCTGAACGTGAGGCCTCGATCAATCCTAGTCCTGGAGGGAGGCTGGAGAGCTCAGACATGGTGATAAATCTTCTGGAGAAACACCAAGGGGATATCCCATTCCACAGCCCTCGCTTCTACGTAGCTAGGGCCAAATGTGTTAAGTCCATATCAGACTACAAAGACTTGGCTTTCCCTGATTTCTGGGGACACCAGCCACCTCTTTCCAGCAAGCCCTTGTTGGAGCGCAAGGATGGGGTTCAAAGGTGATCGTGCTTTACTATAATTACCACATTCTTGGGCTCAAAACTTGTTTCTGTAGTTTCTGACTATCATATCTGTGAATGTTTTAGGAAGTTATAGAATGAATTTTGGGCTATCCAGTGATTTGTTGCAAGGCCAAACAGCAGGATGATTTGATTTAGGCTTTACTCCCGAGGAAAGGAAAATGCTAGCTGACTGGATTACGAACAGGATTAGGAATCAGCAGGCTTATTTCCTATCTCTGACATGGAATTTCTGTGTGTCAGCGGATGCATTGTGAACTGTCTGTGCGTTGCTTTCTTTGTCTCGTAGGTGAAGGTGGTAGTGGCAACCTTGGAGTGAGATTTTTATGGCTTCTGTGAATCCATAAAGACCCCCCTGTCTCATATTCCAAATTGTTATTGATTAAACTAGTTATTGATAAATTTATCAATGTAGCTATGTGTGTAATGGAACTCTAAGCTGGTCAAAGCTCTGATACAGATTTACTAGTGACTTTTCCTTAAAGTAAGCAGACCAAAACCCAGAATGACCTGTGAATCTGTGACCTTGTTAGAACACAAGTGAGAACAAGTTCATTTTGCAGATGGAGGAGACTCTGTGTCCTTTCAGGATACGTTTTTGCCTTCAATCTTAATCCAGCCATCTTTAGTGTGTGCAACAACGGGTCTCATCTGGCTTTTTAAGGAAAAATCCTTTCTGTCCTCTCGGAGCTGCGTGTCTGTGTCAGGTTGTTCTCGGGAATCTCCCTGTCTACCCTTCTGCTGCTGTGTCACTTCTCACTGTGCCTCTCGCTCTTTCTGGTCCGTGGGGTCCTCCAGAAGCTTCTCCTCCTTCCCTAGCATGTGCACCTGCTTCTGGGAAGTCTCTCATGAGCTAGAGAGCATCAGGAGAGTCAAGGTAAGCAAGTGGCTTTCCCTCCCTACTGCCCAGCCCACTAGGAGAAGACAACATATATGGTATGCAGAAAGAAATAAAACCAGATATCCCCTATGGCATACTGCTAGAGGATGCTGTTTTTTTCTCATGTTATTTTAGGTGTTCAGATGAGGAGAAAGCTGTGTTTGGGAGCTGTGCTGGGAGAGGAAGCTCTTCTTATTGCTACCATTTTGTCTGTTCCATGCATGGCTGTGTGCAATGACTTTACATTTCTTTTCAGTGGCATAAAGAATTACTAGCAGATACCAACGAGGCTGGATTCTGTGCTAAACTTTAAAGTTAATCAACACTAATCAAATGGCATTTGTGAAGACTACTGATTTCGGACCTCTAGAGAGATAACGATTGTTTCTGCAGCAAATATAAAAGCTAAAAATCTTATTTAGAGGCAAAAGCACTCTACCATCTTCTTCTTGCACTGTTGCTCTAAAAGATTTGCTTTTATGACTGTAATAACGTGTAAACATACAAAAACTAAAATGGGAATAATCATATGCTTCAGGGCATAACATGATTGCTGCAAAGGTCAGGAAGACAATCTGGTGTTCCACATTTGATCATCTTTAGGGATCAGAAAACTTCAGTTTAATAATGAGTAGAAATTAGCTTGATTTAGAGTCAAGATTCACTATGAGACAGACTAGTAGGTTTATAAGTTATGGCAGATATTTCCTCACGGGGCAAGGCTGGCCATTTGGGAGACTGACGTTGACTGGGAAGAACTGGGGATAAATCAAACTTGACAGAATACTGTAGAGAATAAAAATTTTAGAAAATCAGTCACTTAACCCAAAAGGCAACTTGTTGTAATGGGAAAGCAGGAGCTTTCTCATGGTAAAAATAATTAAAAAAAAATATACACACAAATGAAGTTCATCTGGAATTAGCACGTGGAAGTCCTCTTTCTTACCAGTCCTTCAAAAGAATTTCCTAAGCCTCTTCATATTTCTTCTAAAAGATTACGCTATATCAAGATTTCTCAGTGTCATTACAATTTTTTATTCTATTTTTTTTTTTCCCCTAGGGAGAAAGTACTAGATGACGTTCGCCGCTTAATCCAGCCTGGTGATGTGTTAAGCAGAACTGTTTTTGATTTAGATGAGCCCAGGTGAGTAACTTAAACTGAATACTGTAACCAGGGGCACTGTCAGTGCTGGGTTAGGCAGCAAGCTCAGTTTACTTGTTCAGCTCTGATAAATGTATAGAAGAAATAACCTAGGAGGTAAAGGCTCAACAGGAAAAAATATGCTGGAGGAGTAAATTCCTTGCATGTGGCTCTGGGGAAAGTGTCACAGGCTGTAGATGTATCCTAAAAGGTGTGGCACTTATAAAAGGGTTCTGAAAACCATATATCCAGCCTTGTGAACTGTTTTAAGTGCTCGACTATGGCCAGCAATTACGGTCTTTGAGAAGGTGTAGCACAGGGCAGTTGAGAGGTTCCCAGGTATGAAGAAATTGTGTTCAGAGGAAGGATGAGTGACTCGGAGAAAATTCTTTAGAGGAAAAAACGTGAAGGACGGTTTGAAGTAGGAGAAAGTTGTGAAGTTGTTCAAGATGAATTTAAGGGTTTCTAAGCTTTAGGAGAAGGAAACTATATAGATGAAGGAAGAGTAAATGTATAGCAATTCTCTAAAGCTGCCTTGTGCAATTAATAAACTAATGAGAATAACTCAGTGTGTAAAGTAACTGGAATAAGGAATGTAAATGTGAACTGGGACAAAAGGGAGTATTGAGAAATGAAAAGATGATGTGATTTAGAATCACTAAGCAACAGTAGAGAAGAATGCTGCATTGGATAGGAAGATCTTGCTTGGGGTCTTGCTTATAAAAAAATAAAAAACTATTTTAGTGGACAGAAGGTGCTGGGGAAAGCTTGACTTTGAAGCAACCTGTTATAGGTATCCTTGCTTTGATTTACTGCAGTCACTCAAGCCCAGGCGCCCCAGGCTGTCTGACATTCTTCTCCAAGTTTGAATCGGGAAACCTTCGCAAAGCCATCCAAGTGCGTGAGTAAGTACGCCTGAGGCAGCTGTGTCCCAACCTGCCTTTCTGCTGTGACCACGGTGTGAAATGGTGGAGTTCTCCTGGGTTTGGGAAGGGTTGACCAAGGAAGCAGGTTATATCACACAGAGCTTGTCATGCTTTCCAACACCTAGATGTCATGAAAGTAACAAGAGTGAGAAAACAGAGCTCAAAATGTCTTGAGATGACTAACACAGTGTCAGTATTTAATGGTGTATCTGGGCACCAATAGTTTGATGGTGTTCTTTGACTCTCACTGGTTATTAATGAATTCGATTGTGTAGCCTGTTGTCTTCAGCAGGCTCAGTGGAAGACTGGTTGGGTGTTGCTGGCCACCATTTTTTCTGATCTTTCTTTACAGGTTTGAGTATGACTTAATTATGAATGCAGATGTGAACAGCAACCAGCATCACCAGTGGTTCTACTTTGAAGTCCGTGACATGAAATTAGAAGTTGCCTATCGCTTCAACATTATCAACTGTGAGAAGTTCAATAGCCAATTTAATTATGGTATGAGTCTTTTGGGAATTGGAGTATTCTTCTGTTCACAAGAATATCTTTTTAATACCATAAAGGTTTTGAACTTTCTATGTCTGTAAGGGAGACTGTAAGTTTAATCTTATCTGCCCTGAAATCCACTGGAAGAGTTACTTTAGATTTGTCAAAGGACCTTTCTCTATCCTCAGGAGGACTGATAAGTAAGCTGAATATTGAGACCTGGGAGAAGATTGGGGGGGGGGGGGGGGAAGTCAGTGTTCTGTGCTTGGAGACCAGAACTGAGGAAGAATGGCACTGGGGTTGGGAGAGAGGAAAAAAGATGGTAATTTGGAATTGAATGAGCAGCATAGGATTGGACTGTGCTTCTAAGATTTAAATAAATGTAGATAATCCTCAAACAAATATTCATGATTCTTTGGGCTTATCCAGAAAGACATCTTTGCATTCAGACCTGCTGAGACATCTACTGATGTTAATGATAAAAAAAATTTCTGTTCCTTGCTGTCTTTGAGCTCCTGTCATAGTGTGTGGTTCAGGAGGAAGGCAGCATTGCTCAGAAATAGGCAGGGCAAATCCCAGCTTTCAATGTCCATTTTAGAAGAGAAATTATTTCTTCTGCATGAAGACTGTGGGTTGAATTCTTAGCTGGTATAAGTTGGGTTTTTTTATTTGTTTCCATGGAGCTGTGTTAATTTACGCTGGCTCAAGACCTGACTCAGAATGTTTAATAAGCCCCTAATATCAGACTTTGCATTCCTCTGAAACCCTGTGGATACAGCCTTTGACATCACCAGGAGGACTCTCTCAGGATCAATGTACCTAAAACAAATAGCACTAGGAGCTGGAATGACTTGTCACTTGTATTTGTGAAACTGGCTGGATGAGTGGCATAATGAATTATAAGGCATTTGCCCTTTAACCCTAAGGACTGGAGTTCAAGTATCCATAGAGATCCCAAATGAAAATGAATATTTTATTTTTCTGTCATCTTATTCTGCTTCCCTGAATTACCAAACAATTCAGTGTTGGTGTGTCTGGTAGCAGCCTGAAAATGAAGTACGTTGAGGTCCTACTGTAAACCCCGATAAAACTTCTGATATAGCCACAAGTAGCTTCACAGCTAGAGATTCTGGCTCTTATTGATGGAAGTTGACTTGCTATCTGCTAGTCTGGCTGTTGTCGGCATTTATAATCTCATTTTGTGCACCTGAAATTGTACATGACTCACATGTTCAAGCGTGCAATGACAAATATATTTGGAATAAAAATGTGAAAATACCATCCGGTGTAAGGAGGCTAAGCCATGGCTTGCTTTTGTATGGCTTGTATGTGGGATGGCTGTAAAAGCAACTCTTCTGTGGGTTTCTTCTGCTGCTTTGAGAGGGCAGCGAAGCTCTAGCTTATCTGGCTTGGCTGAGCGAGGCTCGTTACCCCTTCCAGCACATTCATAATATTTACACAGACTGTTGGTAAGAGACGCTGTTTATTCACGACATTCCCTGTGCACTTTTCTGGGCTAGCACCCGTGCCATAATACTAAAAGCTTCTAGTTGTGATGTAGTGCCAAAGTGCCAAGGGTGGCTATACTTTACAGCTCCTGGTTACTGATCTGTTTTGATTTTTCCCTTCCTTTTTGCTCTTGGCTAGATGGCACTGTGTAATTTTCGAATTGGCAAAAAGGATATTTCAGGAAATAGTTGTGACTAGGAGCAGAGCAAGTCAGGAGGTGCAGCCTCCACCTCTATCCTTCCTGCTTTTCCACCAACTTTCTCTACCATGGGAAATAATGAGATTTCATCAGCAGCCTGATTTGTGTTTGTTTTGTAAAACTGAATGTTTCCATAGGGAAAGTGGAAAGGAAAAACTGTTGGGCTTTTTGGTTTTTTTTTGTTTTTTTTTTTAATTAAAATGAAACAGCAGACCAAAATCAACCGTTGCTCAGAGGCAGTTTGGTGTGTGTATCCTTTGGACTCAGAGAAGGCAGGAGCTGGAATTTGGGTTGTTGAGAGCACTGCAGACCTTTCTTCAATTCGCTTTCACAGAAGCACCACCAGCGTCCTTGCCGGGCTCAGCTGTGGCTGTGCTGGGTCCACCCCAGCTGGGTGGCACCTCCTTGGGGGGGTGCAGGCCACCCCTGCAGCCCCCAGCTGCCAGCACCTCGCCAGGGACACCCTGTGCTTTGCTGGTGAGGGCAGGATCCTTAGTGTACCTGAAAAAGAGCAGGCAGGTGTGTAGAGCAAAGGAGTTTGATACAAAAACTGCCTGCAGATGGGCTGGCTTCATGGAGCTGCAGGTAATGTATATGCAGCTCAGATCAGAGAGAGCCTCGTACCTCGGGGCATGAAATGGTGATATTTTGGAGGTCAGGAAGAAGTCATCTTCTGGTATAATACAGTACAAACATGGATGCTATCATTATTGGCATTTATGAGATATAGGTATTATTTAAGTCTAATGACAAGTTTAAAGCCTTCTTCTAGTTTTGCTTGCTACTTTCTGAAGGTACGGTACTGGATGCACCATATCTCTAATGCTGTGGTTGGATTAAGGTTTCAATAATAGTGCATCCAAGCATAAAATATTGGACTAACCAAATTACTGATCTTGTTGATGCCTTGACTCCTATTCTTTTCTTTCCCTTCCTCTGTTTGTAAACAGAGTAACTTGAAGTCCTCCTTTGCAAAGGCCAGTAGGATAATTTATTTTCTAATAAACTCCATTCAGCTCACTTCTTCTCTAGGTGCTTTTTGTACAGACATAGCTACATCAGAACAAAGTATGGGGCTTTGGGAAATGCATTTACTTTGCATAAACTATCTGCAGAGAGAGCACAGACAAAATAATGCTTCTTGCTTGGCCTTTTCCTCCCCACCTCTGTCTTTTCCAGCCAGGAAAGTCATGTCACTTGAAACTGTCTTATTTTATGTAGGCATGCAGCTGGTCATGTATTCAGTGAAGGAAGCTCTCCAGGGCAGGCCTTGCTGGCTTCGGGCAGGCTATGATATCTGCTACTACAAGTAAGTGCATTCTTGGTGAATAATTTGTGGCTTCCTTTCCCCTCCTGTTAACTGTATTGATGTTGTTAACCTTTGACCACCAGTGCCACCTGTTTCAAATGTCTCTAAATTGGTTCTAGTTCAATGTGTTATGTGCTTCCAGCTTCAGAAAACAGCTACAAGTGAGATCTCGATATTAGATGTCTGGGGAGAAACAGGGCATGCGCAGAATTCACTTTCCTAGGAGGAGGAAAGGGAATGGAGGATGCTCAAACCTTGCCGATACAGCCAGGAACACAATGAAGCTTAACCCACAAAGGTAGTGTAGCTGGCTTTTTCCCCTGTCCAGGAAGAAATGAGCTGCGTGGAATAATTGTTTTTCTTTTGCACACATTGACTTTTCTGAGAGAGGAGAGGAGGAGCTAAAGAAGGGTTAGCATATGCATAGGGGGTGGGTGGGCGTATATACATATATACACACTATGTACACCTGTATACATAGGTAGAAATAGACATATACCTTTATTTGTGAATCTGTCTCTATACCTTAGCATCTCTACCAGCTTCTCTTCCCTGCAAAGCCGGAACTCAAATCCTAGAAGGCAAACTGCTCTGTCGGCCACGTTTATTGGCACCATGCACTGTTTGTAGACCTGGTTCTGACAGCGGAAATGGTAGGGATTAGCCTTACTCGCTGTCATACAGGAACTTGTATTTTTCTACTGGGGCCAGGCACCAGTGGTGTAAAGGAGTTCTGACAAGCTCAGTGCTAATATTTATCCAAGTTCCCTGTTTCAGGCTGTTTCTGCAGTGTGTCAGCACCTCGGAAGAAAAACACTAGTTCAGTCTCATCTTTAACTTATATCTGAGCTGGAGCTTGACTCATGTGAGAAACATTCTCATCCAGGTATCTCATTTTCATGCGGAAAACTAATCTCTGATTCATTCTGGCTTTTGCAGTCAAAGGAGACAAGTGCAGAGCTTGGGGTTTCAGTAGGTTGAATGAACCCCGCTTTGCTTTCTCAAGGTTTCCAAAATGTTATCCACAACATTTATTAATTATTTTAAAGATAACGAGAGGGTTTTCAGGACTAGGATAGTTGGTATGTTTTGGATTAGAAAATCTGTGCAGAGTTGAAGGCTGGGGGATAGAACAGAACAAGTAGTTGTGACCAAATGTATTTGGTCGAGTGCCTGTGAGTGGGATGTCTGGGAATGATGTAGCCTGGGGTGGTACAAGCAGGGAGAGGAGCCCTGCACTTGAAGAAAGAGGTCCAATGTTGAGGGTGAAGTGGTAGAGCATTATGAGTGAAGTTCACATACTTTGTAATCAAATACTACAGCATTTGGTGTTAATTCACTATTTTATCCTGGCCTTACCTGTCATGACCTGAAAGCTGGGGCTGAGAATGCCTGAGTGACAAGGTTTCCCTTTTTTATTTTTGTTCTTCTAATTATTTTTTTTATCATGACTCCTATTCACCAATTTGCATCACCAAAATGCCTCGGCGTCTCAGGACTCTATGGGTACTGTGTTAAGCACTGTATAAACAAACCAAAAATCTGATCCTTGCCCTTAATGCCTTTGCAGTTGAAGCATAGGGCTTGGGCTAGCTGACAACTGTAGGTAGGCAGGGAAATATGAGAAAACAGAGAAGTGTTAACACAATTAACAAAAATGATAATTGTCTGGCATGGTAAGTAGTGGTCTCAGGACAGAGCTGAACTTTTCTCGTGTTCTAAATGGTACTCTTCTCTTCATGAACTTATGTGATGATTTTAGAAACTGAAGTGAAATTATGGGCTTTCTCCTTGTAAGAAATTATATTTTTGTTGTAGTTCACAATTTTGTTGTTAGCTTCAGTGGTGGCTATGTTCACAAGTGAATTTGATAAGACAATAAACCCAAACAATGATAATGGGCTGCCTTCCAGAAGTAGCAGAGCCTCAAACTTGTGTTGATACAAAAAAATTCCAAGTTGTGCCAAATATCTGTTATAATCACTTTTTAGGTTTTGTTGGGCTTTTTTTTTTTTTTTTTTTGGGGGGGGAAGGGGAAGGCTGAAGGCTTGGAATGTCCTCTCGCAACCTGGCATCCTGTCTGTAGCAATTTGAGTATTTTGTTTTGTTCCAAGTACAATTTTATTTTGTTCCAAGTACTCTTCACTAACCTTTATTCACCTAACCTTTTCTACCTCAAGTGCTAACATACTTTGGTGCAGTGGTTTCCCTCTGCTTGCCTGTAACCTGGCTTCTGTGAGTATGGGCTTCTGGTTGGGCAAACTTTACGTGCTGATTACCATAGCAGTATTTTTCCATGTCATTAACAAGGCAGCTAGCATGCAGTGATTAAACAGCAGCTGACTTCCAAGATTAAACCATGATTGTACAATTAAGCTTGTAATCAGATTCTTGTTGAGAATGTCAGAAACTGGAGTTTTATTGATTTGGAATATTCTGTGTTTTCTAACTGTAGATTGAATTATATGTCAACATATCTAGGATAACTACTTGTCTTATTTACTGTACGTTCCAGGTTTACACATGTCCTTGTGTCTACAATAACGTGCATACACACAAATGAACTCTCACCTCTACTGAAACTCTAATCTTTTTGCTTCAGTGATTATAGAAGAGATTCCCAGTCGTGAGAGGTTGTACTGTGGGAGGGACTGTGAAGAAAGTATGTTTGGGGTTGCTCAGACTTTGGCTCGGAATAGGAGATGGGATTGCTGTAGTGATGTGCTGCTTCTGTTTTTTTGGGGAAAGAGCTTCATTTCCATTCACCCTGGTCACAGGGGTATCCTGGGGTAAGACTGGCAGATTTTTAAGGGAACTTCATCTTACCAAGATGATTTTTAAGGGAACTTCATTTTACCATGAGTTATTAATAAATTTGGGAAAAGTGATATACTTGCAAAGATCAGGAACTCAGACATGCCCTTAATTGCAACCTCTGAGCTGAAGGACAGTGGGAGGAAAGGCACATTTGCAAGATGTCTGGGTAATACATGTTGGCTGATCTTTGCTGATGTTCATGTTCACTGAAGATGGGATAGTTCACTCATAAAGATGAATGTTGTGGCACAGCTCTGTCTTCGTGTATCTTTCCCATATGTCTCACAAGAGTTTTTATGTTACGGAGAATATTAGCAGTGCTCTTGTCAAAAGGAAGCTGAGTGACACTTCTGCTTTATTTTATTGCCTCTCCATGAAGTGACAGGATACACCCATGATAAACAGAGTTGCAGCCACTATAAGATCACTTAATTCACCTGCTGTCTTGGCAGCTTTTATGTGCTGAATAATATTCCTTTCCGGCAAATTATTTTAAGGAACAATGGCAGCATGCTGAATTGGTGACAACGTGCTTGTGCCTTTGGTTTCATGGCTCATTCTACACATATTATCTAACCTCCAGCTTTTCCAGACAATAGTCAGTTCACAGATAGTAATGAGGTACATGGAGTGTTTTGTTCTCAGATCACCACTAAAGACTTGGTTGTTGGGTGAGCATAATGGTGTCAGAACTCAGTCGTCTTTTTTCTCTTCAGCATCTTTATAATCACATTAGATGAAATCATCACTATAGCATTAGCAGGGCACGTCTCAGTTCTAATGACATCTACGAGAGAGGGCTGAGACACCAGTCTCAGTCTGAGAGCACCTGACCTTTAAAATACGACTGAAGGCCTTAATAGCAAGATGGCTGTGGGAATATTCTGCTTTGACTGGGATTCTGCCTGCACTCTTGACAATAAAGATGCCTTAACATGGATTTGGCCCTTGAAAAGGGAGTTGTGTTGTGCATTTTCCAGTTCCTAATATGGCAGACCCCAAAATAACAGCTGTTGCCCTGTAAATTGTTAAATACTGGGGGTTTTTTTATGGTATGAACCATGGTGTTACTAAAGCATACTGCACTTAGCCACGCTTAGAGATGTAAGAAGGTCAGAGCATGTGACACCAGACTCCAGGTGGTAGAAGGATTTTGGACAAAGCAAATGCATCAGCAGATTAAAAGTACTAAATAGTTTACTTTCCATTTGGACTCTGTTTTGAAATGGCCTAGAAATCCAGGATATTGATATTTTCTTTGGCCATTTTAGTCTAAGCTGATACAATACCATATTCCATCAGCTACCAGTCATTTTTACTACACTAAATGCTGCAGACAGGAAATCTAAGGACAAGATGACCAAGAGATGTTGATCTTGTATCACTTGGTGCTTTTGAATTCCTGGTTTACAATCCAGCTCCTTTACCGACCTGCCTGTATCTTTGGCTTCACCTGTCTGTGGCTCAGTTTCCCCATCTATAAAGGATGGAAAATTAGAATCACTTATCTCCCACTCAAATAATGGGAATAGATAAATGGGCAGCAAGTTTTAATTAGATAATGCTTGCAAAGGTCTTTTAAGCTCAAAAAAATATTGTGCAGAGTGATAAGTAGTATTATAATTATTATTAATTAACTTTCCATCACAGCTATGCTAGAAATATACTACCTGTACATTATTTCTGAAGAAGAACAGCAAGCAAAATGATTTTACTATTACAAAGTGGCTGAAAGGCACAGTAGATACAGCTCACATGCTGATTAAAAAACCCCCATACTTTGGTCTCTTATTTTCTTTCCAATAATCAGCATATTTGTTTCTAGAGAGCATGTGAGACTTTGAACATTTTTTGAAAGAGAACACAAATAAGGTAGTGAGGACCAGATGTTGCTAGGGTCTTTTTTTGCTTCCCTCTTCCTTGCTTGTTAATTTGGGTTTCGTGCTGGTATGGTAGAGCGTTGTGATTAAAAAGGGGTGAAGAAGAAAACTATCAGCCTGGTGGAGGAACAAGGAGGCAATAGAGAGCCATTTTGAGCTGACAGCAGTAAGAGGAGAGGGAGGCAAGGAAGAAAACACTATTTTTCTTTTTTCTCTTTAAGTTTCCTTTTAAAAGATTCAGAGCTACTGCATTGTATGATGGATTGTGAGGAGACCAGATTATATTCAGTAGGAATACATGATCATTTACACTGCTTACAAGTGGTTTTTCTTCTTAATGCATGAGTGAAGAATATTGAATCCTCACAAAGCCACCTGTGAACTTCCTGTTACTACCAGATAGTTTGCTATAGATTGAAGCAGGTGTCAAGAAGTAATTCAAAAGCCTGGAAATATCTGTTCTGGGCAGGCAGTTTGCTGGAACTGCAGAGGTACTCAAAACAAGAATGAAATGTGCTGCTAAGCAGGGCAGTGAGAGCGTCAAAATCTCTGGATCATGCCATCTGAGCACTTTCAGGAGTAAGGACCGTTGATGCTACACTGGTAGTCAAGGTCAGAGGTGTCTGGTAGTGCACAACATCTGGGTTAGGTGGCATTTTAGACGAGAGATATTTTTGGCTGCACAATTACAGACTATATAGAGAGAAGCCTTTACTGGAGCATTAGGGACAGGTGGGAATATTTCCCCAATTTGTATGTAAGATATTTAGGCAATATCCGCCCGCAAAAACCTGCTTCTTCCTGCACCTCTGACTGCAAATGTGAATTCTGAGGAGAGGACTCAGAAGATCTCAGCATTTTGTGACAGTTCTTTGTGAATAAGGTCATCTAACCATCCAAGTGACACTGAATATAATAGAGGCTGTGGAGATGAGTACTTTCTTTATGCACTATACAAGAAATGGTTCTTAATTATCCTTCACTGTCAAAATTAACAGGAACTAGATTAAATGTCATTGTCCTGACTTAAAGAAAAAAAGACTCAAATCCTGGATCCACTGAAATACAGATATAATAGCTAAGTGGATGTTTCTATATTTGTGTGTTCTTTTTTTTTCCTCTGAGTCTCTTTGTCCAATATTAAGATGGTTTATTTGGAAAAGAAATGTTGGGGTGAAGGGTT